GGCTCACAGAAGCCCCAGATCTTTCCTCACCATGTGGGCTCCATGGGAACCTCCTGGCTGAGCAGGCTGCAATCCTCAGCCTGTTGGATCTGGATAAGCCACATTACCATTTCTGTTTCCACTTCACACCCTTGCTTATTGTGTTCTTTTACTAAGACTGTGATCTTCAAAATACTCCAATGGGAAAATGGGATACAAAAATGTTTTCTTTGTTTCTTAACTTAAAGGGGCAGTCTGTATCCCAGCTCCACCCCAGACTTCCCAGAGTCTGATGCAGTGCGTGTGTAATGGGCGGAACAGTGTGTCAGTGTGCTCCCCCCAGCCCCCGCTCATATGGCAGGCCTAACCCAGCACCTCCCAGTGTGTCTGTGTTTGGAGACAGGGTCTTTAAAGAGATAATAAGGCTACAAGGTGGCTGTTAGGGTGGGATCTGGCCCAATCCTTCTGTGTCCTTTTAAAAAGAGGAAATTTGGGTGCACAAAGAGAAAGACAGCTAACGGCACTCAGAAGGAAGGCCAGGTGAGGACACACGAGGAGGTGGCCTGTCTCCATACCTCGCAGAGAGGCCTTTGGGGAACAAGCCCAGCTGGTCTCTTCTTGGCTTCCAACCTCCAGAACCGTGAGAAGCACATTTGTTGTTTAAGCCCTGTTGGTGGTATGTTGGCTTAAGAGTCCCAGCAAACCAGTAAACAGCCTGCTCTGCCTTGAAGCTCCCCTTCCCTTCAGCAGGTCTGTCTTTTTTTCTGACCTACAGTCCATTCACATGAGGGCGGAGTGGGTGGCCTGGCCAGGGCCTTACCGCTAGCGCACCTGTGCTCCAGGGCCCCTCTCCCTACCAAGGCTTTGGCTTATGCCCACTGGATATTTGATTTTTTGTTTGTTCAAGAATCTGGACTTTTGTTTCCCTGGTTCACATGGGATTAAATGGAGTAAGACAAAAGAAACATATTTGAAGTTCCAGATCTCAAATAATTGGGTATATATCGTCCCATCGTAAATATGTGTGTGCACGCGCTCATATGTTCTTTTTCTGGGGGGGAGTCCATAGCTCCCTTCAAAGTCTTCAAGGAGTTTATGACCACAACTGTATTAAGATTCACCACCCTATTATGTTTGAAATATGATACAATTCCAAATGTATGGTTTCTATACATTTTAGAGATGACTATTATGTAAATGAGAGAGGAATGTTTGTCTTCAATATCCCACTCATTTGTCATTAAAAAAAAAATCTCTTAGACAGTTTGCCATGGAGAAAGAACCTAAGTAAACGGTCTGTGAAATACTTGATTCCTTCCTCATGCTCATCCAGTCCCATGTCCAGAGACCATAAAATCGTATCGCTACTTCTACTATTTCAGGCCCTCTTAGTGCACAGCACCAGCATTGCACCTCCCTCAGCATTTCCACGTGCATATGAATTCGCACACAAACAGTTCATTGCTCTTTGTGTTTCTCCCCTGACCCTCCTCCCTCTGCCTTTTGTGGCCTTAAGTCATGGAACCACAAGGATTAGGAGACAGCAGTGATCAGGAATGACCTCTATGCCTCGCCATGTTCTGGGATTATTTTTATCTTTCCCTTCCCCCTGCTTGAGCCCACCACAGCTGTCTGGTCCACCTGATTATTACAGCAGCTGCTATGTGTGTGCAACTTGACCTCCAACCCCTGACCATGATTTGGTCCAACCCCTCCAACCCCTGCACTGGGATTTGGCAACTGAATCAATCTTGGTAGTTGCTTGAGAATTTGGAACTGGCTCCTACATTATGAAGTGCAAGAGCTGCTGGTAACCATGCAACCCAGTGCCCACCAGAGGAACAGAACAGGTCTGTATGGTGAGAACAGAGCGTGAAGCAGGTAGTGTAGTGGGGGGAAGGGACAGATCCAGTCTTCAGGGCATGTCCCTATTTCCTGGTTGTCCCTGACGACGATGAGCTCTACTCCTGGTCCCTCTTGCACAGGCAGGTCCTTTGACTATGGTTTCAACTTGGCTCGAATTTCTCCTTCTGATAATGTCTGTCAGTTTAAACACACACACGAACACATGCACACACACAAGAGATGATTTTAATGTACGAATATCAAGGCTTAACTCTTCCAATGTTACGTTTTTAGAAATCAGGATGAAAACCATGACTTGATGTTCAAAGTTAGTGTTTATATCAATGACCAACCTGGGTTAAAAAAAAAAAAAACACCTATGTCACACCTGATGCTTTCTTTAGGAAAGATTTTTTAACAATGATAGATCATAAAAGTGCCACGTCTTCCTTGTATTACACCAATCTCACCTGAAAAATCTCCAAGAACAATGAAACTATACGATGCAAAAGTAGGAGCTTCTTCCCCGAAAAGAGGGGTGTGACGCCAGCCCTATAGATCCTGGCTTGAGTTTATTGCTTTAGACAGCCAGGGGACTACTGGGAATCACCTTTGACCTCTGGCCCTACAAAGATATTTCAAGAGGAAATGAGAAAATATTTTGTCTTTCATTGGCAAATGGAGTTATGCTTTGGGGGCACAAGTGGCTAAAGTTCAGGGTTTGTGAAAGTGGATGCTGAATGAATTTAATAAACCATAGAAACATCTGAATCCTCTAGGCTTAGTCAAGAAAAATGCCATCAAATAACTTAAAAAAGGTAAATATCAGGCTAATTGATGGATTTTTTTTTAAAAAGATTTATTTATTTATTTATACAAGCACTGGGTACAGTCAGAGGCGCGGGAGGGTGAGAGAATTCACCAGAGCCAGAGCGGGGAGCAGAGCAGGCAGAAGGACCGAGGTACACTGCTGAGGGGAGCAGCGGGCGGCAGGAGAGGTCTGCGCGCCATGTGGGACCCTCCTCCGGTGGCCGGGGAGCAGCCGGGGATCGAACCGGCGCTGCAGAGGCTGCGGGCAGCTTCGCAACCCAGCGCTCAACCACTGCGCCACCGAGGAGGCCCTGATGGATTTTTTTTAAATGCCATGCATCTGATATACTCCCCCCCCTTATCTTTTCTCTCTCCACCCCCCCAAATTTACACTTCCTAGATGATGAGCAGAGCTGGTTGTCCTCAGCAGCCCTGTGCAGAGTCTTGGTCAGCATGATGTCTGTCTGGATTTGATTATAATAAGGTTTTTTGATATTCCACTTTAAGTAACCTCATTTTTTTTTTTTTGCACCTCTGTCTTTTAGAGGGAATAGTTTCGTATCTGCACTGAAGTCATCTTCTTCACACACACCCCCCCCCTCCATTTAGAGGACAGATATGTTAACCAACTTTTGAACATAGTAGCGCCTTGATGCTTTCACCCCCTGACGTGCTTTCGTAATTTCTGCATTTTAAGAAAGGACTGAAACTGTTAACCCCTGAGGAAGTTGGGTGCCCTTGCCAGCAGGTCTCTGGAACAGGCGTTGTGTCTTGCTTGGAAGTCATGCTGGCAGGACTCCCTGTTGGAGGAGAAATCTAAGCGGGGGTCAGGGATTTCTTAAGGGTGACCCACATCCCCTCGGGGGACTCACCGTCCCTCACCCTCCTGCTTCTCTGCACCTCCTCACCTAGGAGGGCCCTGAGCATGGCAGGAAGGGTTTGAAGAGACGCCAAGGCAGGGCTGCAGGACTGAGGGAGACAGCGGGCCAAGCGGTTTCTGGCCCATCGTGTTTGTTAATTCATTCTATAAACATTTATTGAAACTACAGCGTGTTAGGCTTTGTTCCAAGCTCCGAGGCAGAGTGATGGGAAAACCAAAACAAAACACTAAAGTCTCTGCTCTCATCGCTAAGGCTTATAACCTGGTGGCCGGGAAACGCGCGTGGCTGGATGGCCGCCTAGCAGGGGTGACCGTGACAGCAGGGGTGACAGCTGGGGGCAGCGCCTGCCTCCCCCTCTTGCACCTGTGAGCCCGGTGCTCATGTTAAGGTCCGTTCAATCCGCGTCACCTTCCGAACTTCGAGATTCCGTCCCCCTGCGAGGCAAATGTCGCGCGTGTGGAGCAGCGCGTTCTGCTTTATTAAAAATGTGAGTCTGAAGGGCCCTGAGGGAGGGCAGGGCCGACAGTGCCCGCTCGGGCGGGCGCCGGGCACCGCCGGCTTCGCTTCCACCTGCGCGCGCGGCCGGGCCTCTCCAGAGCACCGCCAGGTGGCACCTGCGCGGCGCGGACGGGGAGCGGCCTCGGCCCCACACCCCAGGCCGGGAAGACCCGCTGCGCGCCCGCCCTGGGCCTGTCGGGGGGCAGCGGGGGAGTTTCCGCCGGGTTCATCCGCGCGGCCACAGCCCCTGCTGCGCGCTTTCCCGACACCCCAAACACACAGAGCGCGGGGCCGGGTCCGCGCAGCCACCCGGACCGCCCCGGGCGGGTCACACGCCGGGGGAGCAGCTCGGCCTCACCCCAGCCGCGACGTGGGCGCCGGCGCGGGGGGCGTGGGCTGCGCCGAGCTGGAAGGCGGGCCGGGGCGCCGGCTCCCCTCAGTCTGCCGGGCCCCGGCGGGGGTGGCCAGAGAGCCGGTCCCAGGGAGGTGGCAGGCAAGTCCGGGGCCCCGGGTACGGCCTCCAGCTCCCACCCCGGGTCTGGGGCGCGCGGCCGGGGGCCTGTGCCGGCGCCCGCTCCCGCCGACTGTCCCTGTGGCTTCCCGGCCCGGCCGCGGCGTGGCGGCCTCGGGCCACCCTCCTCGCCGATCCGCCGCGGGGCGCCCCCGTTCCACCGGGGCGGCCGGCCGGGGCGCAGGGGGGTCCCGCAGAGAGCCAGGGTGGGGGTGTCGGCCGCGCGGGGCGGCCGTGCTGGGGCAGGAGCGGCAGGAGCTGCGCCCGGGGCGCGCGGGGCGCTGCGGCCGCGCGTGTCCGGCCGCGGGTGGCCTCGGGAGGGGCCGCCGGGGGCGCGGGGCGGGGCGGGGCGGCGCGGCGCGGGGCGGGGCGGGGGCGGGGAAGGCGCGCCGGGGCCGGGGGGCGTGGGAGCCGCGGGAGAGGCCGCCGCGCGGGCGACAACTTCTCCGGGGCGCGCGCGGCGGGGCGGGCGGGACCGCGAGGGCAGCGCGGCCGCCGCGCCGCGGAGCCGGAGCCGGAGCCGGAGCGGAGCGCGCGCCTCTGGCCGGGGGAGCCCCGGAGCCGCGGCCCGCGCCCTCGCCCTGCGCCGCGCGCTCGCGGGCTCGGGGTTCCCGGCGCGGAGCCGGGCTCGGGTCTATAAATAGCGGGTTCCGCTCCCGCCCGGCGCGCGCCAGCCCCGCGGCGGACGCAGGAAAGTCGGGCTAAAGTGTCCGCCGCCGCCGCGCCCCGGCGCCCCCGCAGAGGTAACCACCGCGCGGGCCGGGCTCGTTGGGGTGCGGGCGGCGGGCGGGCGGCGGGGCGTCGCGGGCGCCGGAGCGGGGCCGCGTCCTGGCGGGGGCGCCGGCTGCTTGGCCTCAAGTTCTCGGTCTCGCCGCCGCGGTGGCCGCTCCAGACCTGGCGCCTACGGGTGGGGGCGCCGCCTCTCCTTGGCGGCTGGGGTCCCCCGCCTCGGCGCTTGCCCTCTCGCCGCGCGCCCCTGGGCCCGCCCGGCGCGCGGTCGCCCTCCCCCTCGCGGCCCTGCGCCCCGAACTCCGGCCGCGCTGACCTTCCGGCTGCGCCCACCTGCGCGGCCCCTGGAGAGGCTGCGCGGCCCGGGCTCGCTGGGGCTCGCTTCCCGCGGGGCTCGGGGCGGAGGTGGGCGCGAGGTGACCGGTGCTGGGGGCTTAGTCGCCCCATTTCCTCGATTTTCCTAAAGGTCCCTCTGCTCCACCCCACCCCGCCGCCCGCAGCTCGTCGGGCGGGGAAGCCGGGCACGTCCCCTGCTGGCCCGGGGCGGCGCGTCCTACGCCGGGGGGTCCCGCTAAAGGGGTTCGAAAGTGCGGGCCTCGGTGGGAGCGCGCGGTGCAGTAGCTGGGGGTCTGGCTGCGCCGCAGGCTCCCCCAGCTTCTGGCGCCTCTGACCCCCGGGCCCGGGCAGGGTGTCGTGGAGCCAGGGGCTGGCGCCCCAGCGGACTTTCGGGCAGGCGGCGGGCAGCGGGCGGGGGTGCTGGGGCGCCAGAGACCTGTCCGTGCCCCCCCTCCGCCCCTGAGACATCGCTTCCCTTGGGCTGGTGGTTTGCGCCCTGGGGACCGCGCAGAAGGACCTGGCGGTTTCTGTTTGGGCAAGAGGTTTCACAAGGATGAGGATGTGCATATTGATTAGGTAGGTGATTGCTGGTGCTGGTGCTGTGCTGCTGCTGCTGCTGCTGGTGCTGGTGGTGCTGGTGCTGGTGCTGGTGCTGGTGCTGGTGCTACTGGTGGACAAAACTTATAGAAAAACCCTCCAGGGTTTCCTATTACTCTCGTGTTAATGATGCAGATTCGCTCCTCTGCTTCTCTCCCCCACTCCCTTTCTTCTCTGGAATCAGCTCTCCTGCCTCTTTCTGAGATGTTATTTGAGGTCATCGCATTTCGTGACTCCAGGTGTTACGTTTGCGTATCTCCTTCCTCTCAGGATGACAGAACTGCTTATAAAGGTGTGGCTCTACGAGAGAAGGAGAAGCCTGAAGGTGGAGGGTAAACGCCTCATCTTCTCAAGGTGGGCAGAGACAGCCCTTTCAGAGGTGCACAACTGCATTCAGAGACCTTCTTGTAGTAGGAATTTTCTTCGTGGGTTCTAGACCATAAATGGTAGTAACCTGACAACGCTAAGGCAGCATAGAAGAAGCCAGAAATCACCAACAGGGCAGCTGTCTGACGGTGTGCAGAAGCTAGAGGACAGAGAAGACTGTACCCTGGGCAGGTGGACCTTGTTTCAGTCGGTGGACAGGTGGATTATCTTGTTTTCCACTGTGACTTACTCAATAGAGCGTGCATGTGGGTCAGAGTGAATGACCAATGACTGAAATAAATGCATGAGTATTAAAAGTTGAACCACATAGATTTGTAGTAATGAAAGGTATTGCAAGGAAATGCTTTTTCAGTGTGTTTCTTTCAAATGTGATTTGGAAGCTTGTCCTTGAAAGGTTATGAAGTGAGCATGAGAAGTAGCTACATGCTCCATGTCATGAGGAGGAAACATATCTTGATTTCAATAATGCTTTATTTTAGAAGCGTTCACTTTGATTTGATAAATCCATATTTATTTGTGATAAACTAATGACTGGTTAGGATGTGCGTATCTATAATTGCATTTTGCTTTTGACCTTTTGATAAAACATTAAAAATAACTTGATAGATCAAGTTTAGTCCTGTCCCTTTCAGCCATTTAAATAGTCACATAGTCAAAGTTATGGCAGAAAATGCTTCTTGAATGTTGAGTCTGAGCTTCACTTTGGGGATGCAAATTGACTGAATAACTTCATTTCACATAAGATTTTTGTTGAAATACTCATAACATAGACTTGCCGGTTAAATTTGATTATAAAATAATGCTATTACATTTCAGTTGTGTGAAATGGAAAATCATTAAGCTTAGGGAAAAGCCAGATATTTGTTCTAAATTGTGTAAATTGAAAGTAATGCATTTCTTTTCTGAGATCTTGGAGCATCTTCTAGCACAGGTAATATAAATCCCCACATGGGTAATAGTTAACTTTCTCTACTTTGAGGCAAAACCCAAGAGAGCAGTTCTCCTAAAGACAGAGAAAAAAGTGCAACTGATCCTGTATCTCTTAGCAACCGAATGAATGTCAGTTTTCAGGTAAGTACCTGACATTGGAGAATACAATGGTAAAAAAATTATAGATTCATAGTTAGTGAGTAAAATGCTTACTGAACGTCTGTTACATTTTCTTATCTCACAGTGAGCAGCCCCCAGCCAGCACTAATACTGGCTATACAAATATAGTTTTTGTAACCTGTATGGAATGAATTCTTATCTTTCACATTCATGGGGATTTCAGTAGATAAAAATATATTTTTTAAAATAGTCTCAAGTTAAATGTTAGTGTTCAGTTAAAAGCTCCATCTCTCTCTTAATTTTTCAACATGTCCTCTCTATCTTTCCAAAGCCCTAGGGAATCTGCTTCATAGACCACTTTGTTACTGCTTCTTATGTTGAGTTTAAAAATCTTTGCTTAGAGAGATCCATAGGAAACACACATTACCTATATCTATAATTCATAGTCAGTCTTAAGATATGAGCCAATTAAACAAATGATTTCCATTCAGACATTTATTTTTTTGATAAATCCAAATGATGATGCTATGATTAAATTTTTTTTTTGTGCAAGATGCACACATATTTTGTTTCCCAAAACTTTAAATGCAATATGGGCCTAAAAAAACATATTAAGATATGTGAGAAAAAATTTACAGCATATTCATGGTCTCAGGCACAACTGTCATTTGAATCAAGACTTGTTGGTTCATTCACTTTTCTCCATTTTCACTACCTAACTGATTAATACACTTATTTAGAAATGTTCTTGAAGTTTCATTATTATAACTACATGGTCTATTTATTGATCTATCTTTTTATCTATCTGCAACTGCAGTGGGATTTTTCTTATATAAGACACAGTTGCAATCACTATCTTATTTCCTTTAAATATCTTGTTATAGATGTAAACCAGAAGGCCAGTGGGATATCTAGGAGTTGCAACTTTAGATTTTTTTTTTCTCATTGACTTTATAGTTGTACCTGACATTGCTCCATCATGATAGATGTAATCCCAACATAATGTGGAGAGTTGAATTGAGACATAGTAAGTATTCTTAAGTCGTGTTTTCCAGCTTGAGTTTCTTGGCTTGGAATATATTGAGTTAACTTCTGTCTTCTGCATTGGGCAACCAGGGCCTCGCTGGTGGCCTAGGGGTTAAGTCTTAGCCCTATCACCGCCATTACTGCATTGGGTGGCCATACCAGCTAGGTGTCCTGACCGTGTGATGGAGACCCCCACGTAGTCCTGTGCCAAACCAAGTGAAAAAGACTTGGCAGTAGTAGCAGTTTGGCTAAGCTCATTCAAGGACATCTTGAAAAAAGCTTTCTAGATCATGTGGCTTTGATTGGAAATTCTTTTTGTAGTTTTCTAAGTGAGTGATTTCAAGAAGATGAAGGCAACACTTAAGGAGGTATCCCTTCTTCCTATCCATTTCTCCATCATCTGTCTATCTATTTTTCCTGCTCTTCTGCTTATTAAAATGACTCATTACAACAGCCCTTATTTTGACATTGCTGGCTGCAATTCTCTGTTTTCTGCATTGCCAAGGATGAAAAAGTTCGTGGGATATTTAGGCTGCCTTAGTAGTCATGCTGATTTTGAATGATTGGAGTTGCAAAAATAAAAAGTAACCTCCAAAATAAAACTTAAAGTATAATTCTTTAAAATTCCCATATACTAGCTTTTTTAAATATGTCATTTCTTTATAAATTTTAAGTGTTTAGAGAGCCTTAGATTTTTATGTTTCTCTAAAGGGCATGTGATTTTTATTTGTTTATTTATTTTTAAGGATTTCAACGTATTGATTTTTTTTTTAAATTTATGGCATTTTCTTTTCTTTTTTTAAAAATAAATTTATTATTATTGTTCCACATCCTTGTAAAATGTGATTTTTAAAAGTCAAACAGCAAAGATTTAAAGGGAATCCTCTTAGTATTTTCACTATGAAAACGTAATTGACAGAAGTATGAGTTACCTTTCACCTTAGTTTATAAAAGAGGTTGTTACAGCACATTAAGTAGACCAAGCTGGTGCCTACTGTTTTAGATAGCAATGAAATGTCCTCCCTAACCTTAGCAAAGTCAACAATAGCGACTCTTTCCTTAATCCAATCTTTCATTTGGTCTCATTTCATTTTCGAGGGACCTTAGTCTTCTGGCCCAAAGATCTGAGATGAGTTCTAGCCATTATCACATATCAAGATCCAGAGTTTATTCACTGCTGGGAATATAAGGTAGAACCAAAAACCACTTGCATCTTAAATTGAAATTGAAAGTATAACCTGTAGATGGTGCGGGGGTGGGGAGTGGGAGGGTGGAGATTGTAGTTTTGCTTTCAAGAAAGTTTGAAAGTTCATAGTGACTAACATCTCATGATGCTTTTCGAACATGTACATAATTCAAACTTGCTATATGACCATCCTTAAAGTATCTGCATATGTAACATTTAACAGATCATATTGCATACTTGATGTGCAGTATTAAAAAAAATCACCCTTAAAAATTCAGGTCTTCATTAACAAAACCTGTAATTCTTTTCCTTTATTCCCAATAGCCTTATCTTGAAGGAATGATGACTAAATGTTTCATACATTTCTGGATATATTTGCTTTACAACAGAGCATATCCGCTTTCCTGAAAACACCCACTTCTATTTGGAATTAAGGAGACGGTTAGCACTAGGTGGCAGTGTGCAATGCTTCGTAGCCGTGGGTCACTTTAAATGCAATATATTCATTATTAATGCTTTTTTAAAAACAGAATTTTATTATATTATTAGTGAGTTAATGAAATTAAAATCAACACAGGCAACTAAATCCTTAGCAGCATATTTAGAAGATCTCTTGTTTGTAATACTTAAAATATTTGATTGTAATATTTAACACACTCTGATTTTTGTGGGGTCTGCTTATGTGAGGAATTATTAGGAATTAATTGAATGAAATGTGCAAGAATTCTACTTAGGACTGGGAAAGAGGAAGGGAAAGGGAGAATTAAGTGAATGAGATAGAAATATGTCCAGTCCAAAATACTTAACCATTTGCAGTTTAATTCTTACCCTTTCAGACTGAGCAAATTCTTTTATCCCCCTAGAAACTGAAGGCTTTGTTTGTTAATTTTTTTCCATTTCATTGCTCTTCAGACAATGCCAAAAAAAAAAAAAGTGCAGATTGTCTCACTGATGCTTCATCGGATACCCTAACGTCCCCTGTAACACTGTTGGCCTGGCCACCAGCATGACCAAATTGGATTAGCCATGTATCTCTGTATTTATTAGTTATTGTGACAGCTGAGATTTACCTGAGCCATTTCTTCTTGGTTACTCTGGATGTCAGTGTCCCAGTCTTGGGCTGAATGATTGGAATATGGATCATGACAGGTTAATCAATTTATAGCATCATCTATGCACCAGGTTGGGATATTAGCATTATCTAGCTACTTATTGATTGAACCACCTCAGTATCAACCTGGTAGATGGTTCAGTGGTTCAGCTGTGTCCATTGGCTATGGCTCTGTGGGGATGGAGAATGAGAGAAAAATTGATCAATATA